TATTCAGGTCAGTAATGTCTGATTTTTAAAATTGTTTATTTTAATTAGGTACTTCCTCGTACTGTTAAAAAATAAGTTACAATTTTCTGGAAAAGACAAAAAATATTCAGAAAAGTGATATATACATTTACATCTTTCTATCAATCCCAAGCCAATTGGAGATTCTATCAAACCTGAACCACCCAAAAATAATAAAGTTGGATAAGTATATTTAATGTATATTAGAAACAGAGGGTCCCTTTACATGTAATGTGAAATGTATACTCTGAATATTTCATTAAAAAAATGTAATTATTCTAAAGAATTTACTGGATCAGTGCAATCCTGAACCATTAGAAGATTGATATAATCTTGAACCATTTTATACAGTTTTGTTTACACTAATCGGACAATTCTGAATCTTCGCTTAGTTGCCAAATGTAAATTAAGTATGAAATCTACGATTTAGTGGTATGAGAATAATCATAAAATACAACTGTTTATTTAACTCTAAACACTGAATTCAAATTTAAAATCATTTAAGTTTGACTATGTAAACACATTAAAATCACTCTTGTGGCTAGGGTAGTTTGGGTCGAGATATTGAGAGCAAACTTATGGATGTATTTTCTTATAAATAGGAAATCCGATAAAAAAACTTTTTAAATAAAACACTTAAAATCTACGATTTTTCCTTATCTTTGCAATTAAAAAAAATTAACAGGTGAGATAAAAATTTAATTTTTGACATTTTACAATAAACCAGATTTACAACGCTTTTGTATAAAAATCTTACCCCCCACCATCCCATAAAGGGAGAATGGGGGTGGCATTCCCAAAATAGTAGGTTAAAACTTTTTAAATAAAACAGTTTGAATCTAGATTTTTTCTATTCTATCCAAAATTTGCTCAAAATGGTAGGGGTACATTTTTATAAAAAAAAAGTTATGAATTATGTATATTACAAATGTACCAAAAATAAGAGTTTTATCTCCTCTGTGACGATTTTTATAAATAATCTAAAGTTGTTTGTTGCCATTCATTCTGATATTCAAAATTTTCTTTGGAATCATACCACATATGGCTGATAATTTAAAAACTTACAATGGCTATATCTCATGAACTAAAGATGATATATTCAGAAAAGTAAAAACTAATAAAAACAATTTATTTTATACTATTGGACTAGAATATACAGGGTGAATCACCAGGCACTGCATCGATCGATACTCAGAAACTGGACGTAGGAAAAAATTCAAATCTGGAAACTTACATGATGTCTTGGGGCCTATTAAACAATTCCGGTTGACCGGAAATAGACCTTAAGTCGCTTATTTTAAATACGGCATCCTATTATCATTACAATTTTGAATTTTACTTCATATTCTGGACAGGTTTTATGTATCATATCATGCCTAAGTCAAAGCGATTTTACATATTTCAGTTTTTATATCAAAAATGACGTTTGCAAGGACTAATTGATAATTATATTAGGGCTTGCCAATATAATGATATAATTATCAATTAAACCTATAAAGAAGCCCTTATATCTTACTTCGGGTTGGATTCCTTGGGTTTAAGGTTTAAAATTAGATTAAGAATACTGCCAAAAATCGATTTTTCAAATGAAACCACCCATTTTTCTTATTTTGTAGTATTTAGCATCTAAAATAAAGGTAACCTTGTATAAAGTTGTCTACAAGGTGGTCCGTTAATAATAGAATACAGAGCTACTCTATAAAAGTATTGCGATATAACACAATTTACCTTAGTTAGTATTTTTGATTGAAATATTTGACGCCAAATAATAACAGTGGACACTTAATTTTATTAAGTACCTTATAATATCTTCTTTAATATCCAGAATTGAACAAAGGTAAATTTTTATATCGCAAGATTTTTATGCAACGAATTTATAAATGTTCTGTGTCCCACATTGTTAACGGACCATCTTGTACAACCTTACATAAAGTTACCTTTATTTTTGATACTAAATACTACAAAATGAGAAAAATGGAGATTTCCATAAAAAAAAGATTTTTACAGTTTTTTCAATCTTATTTTAAACCTTATTTTTAAACAGCCTGTGTGATTAGTTGTCCAAATATAAAAAATCTATTAAATTATATTCTTTTTAACAAGGAATCCTACCGAAATTAACCAATAAGACCTATGGTTTTCTCATTCTTAATCTACTTTGGACCACTTTAAGATATGGAAAAGTGTTGTCGAGGTATTGGCGAGCAAGAAGACTAAAATAGGCTAGTGTACCATCGTACATAAACCATAAATATCCTCTTACTTGCAGAGGCACTTCTTCTAACAGACCATTTAGTTCTTCGTGTAAAAATTGAGTATACGAATCACCATTCAGTCGGGAGGGTAAAAAGTATGGTCCAATAAGATGGTTATCAATAATCCCTATCCATACGTTCAGTGAAAATGTTTGCTGGAAGCCCAAAAATGTTCATTATGAAAATTAATAATTGCTTTTCGCGAAAAAGTTGCTTCATCAGTAAATAAAATTAGGGTCAAAAAATTAGAGATATGAGCAACTTTATGGAGTAACCACCTACTAAAATTTAGCCTTGGCTGAAAGTAGCGGGGCAGTAGAGCTTGTACTCGATGTATGTGGTATGGGTAAAGCAGAGAAACTTTCAAAACTGTCCAGACAGTATTTGCACTTACTTGAAGCTGTTGGTGCAATCTTCCTGGTACTAGTTGAAGGATTTTCTTTCTCCTGTAGTATAGCTTCTTCTAGCTCAGGCGTTGTTACTGTCCGTGGTCTACCAGGAACTACCCGATTATGCTCAAAACTACCGGTTTCACTCAATCTAGCATGTATCTTTTTAAATGTTTTAGTACATGGCGTTACCCTGTTCGGATAACGTTGCTGATAAATTCTTCTAGCCTCCGCTGAATTCCCATTTTCTAAACCATAAATGAAGGGCATTTGAGCCATTTCAGAGTTAGTAAAGTTATTCATTTTAATGTCTGACATACAAATAAATAAACAATTGGCTACTAGTAAAACGTACCTGGGAAAAATTGAAAATAACTTTTTTGTTGTACATAGTTCAAAGAGATTAAATATAATAAAAAAGAATGAAAAAATGTACTGTCTTTGCAGCTTTTTCTTCCAAATCGAACATTACAAATAGAACAGTGACGTAAGACGTTTTTCCTTCCATATTTTTCAGCGATTAGTTTGATTAAAATATCTTAAGTGGTTTTGGAAATATTTAAAAAGATGTATTTTTTTATGAAACTTTCACACCCTGTATTTTCGTAACGAAGCATTTTTGAGACATAGTGTAATGACAAAAATACCTTTATTTTAGCTCCAGAATATGATCCTGAAGTTATGTAACGTACTTATCGAACACCCTGTATAAATTAATTTCGACTAGAAAGGGTGCTCCATATTTACAGGTATGAAGGTAATTTTTGTATTATTTGATTCTATCTTTAATAGGATATATTATAATCAAATTTTAATGTTTTGAATCCGGATGTGGCCTTGTCAGATAGACAAAGATGAAAATTTTCATAAAAACTGTCATAAAAATTTAAGTCAAACCCTATATCATGAAAAATTACATTTATGAGGTAGTACAGTTCGAAAAACTGGTGATATAAAAATATATATGTATAAAAAAAGCCCAATGACCACTACGACTGCAAAATATGAATCCTCTTTCTATGGTGTCAGATCAAGGCGCTTTATCTAGACCCAGAATTTTTAAACCATATAGAGAGTGTTTTCAGTAACAAATAAATATCTGATAAAAAGTTGAAGAAACAAAATGAAAAATCCTTTAATTAAATATTATTAATAAATTTGTTAATTTGTTAACGTCCTTACTTTGTCAATTTTTTTTAAATGAATTAAAATTTAAAAATTTAGTAAGTGTAAGTAGCCATAATACTTTTTGATGTATTTAAATTATAATAGTATGCAGTGTGTGCCGTGAAGTTGGATCCATAGGAAATTTTTTAATAGTAACGATTGAAGAAAACGTCGCGTCGTAGGGCAATCACCTCTGCTTAATTAAAATAGCCCATGTTATAGTTAGCTACTGACATTAGATTTCTGTCAAATTCGCATTTTAAACTAATAATTTTTGAAAGATTTTTTAAAAATACCGAATTTGACAGATAACTAATGCAGTACCTAGGGTTGTTTTAAGTTTTTAATAATACCCTACAACGTAAAAAAAATTCCATATGGATCCAACTTTATTAACATTAAGAGTGTGGAAAGTACAAGTTTTCATAAGTAAAATATTGTTCGTTATTATTAATCATAATTATTTGCCCATTACAAGTTTTGAATTCTAGAAGTATTGTGAGGTCTATTCATTTACATCACTGGTTAAATTTTTGTAAAAAGAAAAGAAAATAAAAAAGTATTTGGTATGCAGCTGAACGCCAATGGAGAAATCAGATATCCTTAAGACACCTACATTGCTAAAGGTTTATCTTTCATCTGTCATTCCTACTAATACCATTACTTTTTAAAAAGAGCAGAGTTGAGATAACTAAATTTTTTTCAAACTCTTCAAGGTTGTGCTTAGGGAATACAAAGTTTAAGGTAACTTATTTAAATGATATACAGGGTTTTTAGAAAAGATTCATTTTTAAAATATTTATTGATTTTAATTTAAAAATGTAAAGTTAATTAATTGAAGAAAAGAAGATTAACGTTTAAAAAATGTTTGATTCACTTTTGTGACGTTCCAGATTTTACGAATCTTCTTACTAAAATATAAAAATAATAACATTATAAGTAAGGTTGTTTTTGGAAATTTGTTCCTGGTGTAATTACAATATTTTGTTATGGAACGTATCTTGAGGTCCAAAATAGTATAGGTTGAAGTGCCCGTGCACCAGTGGCTAGCTAGTTTTTACTTAGTGCCGTGTCGTGTCGCCATGAAGAAATGTTGTAAGTGTGATACAAAATTTAAAAACGATTCTATAATAACATGTGCACGCAAGTACAAAAATAAGTTCCACTACAAATGTCTAAATTTTTCAACTTCAGACATTCAAGTTATGCAAAAGATAAGTGTTTGCTATGGTTCTGTGATGTATGTTTAGATGAAGTATATAATAATGGAGGTATTCGTAACGAAATTGAGTCACTAAAACAGTCAGTTTCAGAAGAAATTGGTGAGTTAAAAAAAATGTTTCAAACTCAATACGAAAACAATTCTCAAAACCTAAATCATTCTAAAAACTTCAAGAGCTATGCTCAAGCTACAGAAGAAGTAGTATTAAGACTAAAAATACTGATCAAGCTTGTAGCAAAAAAACATTCGAAGCTGTTCAAAAGTATTTAAATCCAACTTTGTTACAATTAGGGATAAATGAAATAAGAAATGTAAAAGATGATGATGTAGTTATTAAATGTAATTCTAACAATGAAATTGAAAAGGTTAAATCTGCTGTCGAAAAGAGTTATAACATTGTGTCACCAGATTTAAAAAATACCTCCATAAAAGTTGTGGATATAGAAAATGAAATGTCTCCTGAAGATTTAATAAATTGTATTAAAAAGCAGAATGGTTTCTTAAATGATGGTGATTCTAATATATCTATTAAAGTGTTTAAAAAATGAAGTATAATTTCATGGCTATAATTGTTTATGATCCACAATCATATGAACATATACTAAAAGGTTTCCTGTATGTTAATTGGGCAAGATGTCGTGTCTATAGATGTTTTAATTGTGGTGGCTTTGGACATCATAGAGATAAATGTGATAGTGTGCAAAAGTGCCTAAAGTGTTGTGATTCAGATCATCTCACAGAGTAATGTACAAATACCGTGTCTAAATGTAACAATTGTATAGAAACAAATTCAAATATGAAAACTAACTTTAATTTTTATCATAGTATTTTCGACCATATTTGTCCTATCCTTCAGATGAAAATTGATATTCAAAAACAAAAAATTAATTATTCAATTACAAAGTAACAATTAAAGAAACCCAGTACATCAAATATTTCTCAGCTTAGGGTTTTTCATGAAAATGCTCAATGTTTGAGAAATAAATTTGATTTATTTGAAATTGAGTTGAAGATGCATAAAATTGATGCATTACTGAACACTGGTTGAAAGATTCCGAATTGCAGATGGTAAAGATTAGAAATTATGATATTTGTATCATAGACCTTTTCATCACATTTTTTTTTGTGCGCATGCGTCAGTTTCAGCCATCTTTTTCGTACTGTTTTTGTAAACAAGTATGTTAAAATGCTTACATGAAAAAAATTATAATTGATAAATATTAATTTAAGTCTATATTCATTTAAAAAAAGGAAGAAAAAAGTAAAGTAATAATAAGTTTAGTGTCTTAATTGAAAAATACATTTTCACAATCAATTATAATTATGTTATCTGTACGGAAAGGAACAACGAAACAGTGTTGTTATGTAAAAGTGACACACGGTATAAATCATTCAAAGGCAATATATATTATTTTATAAATTTTCCAAAGCCTTAACTGCAATATCGTAAACAATTATCAGGCAAAATCCATATTAAAAGATATTCGAAATGTGCATTAAGTGTGAAAAAATATTGTCAAAGTGACAACGGTTTTCGATGGATTAATGATGTTACTAAAGATACTTATATTTCACTGCATTTTCATGGAGAAAGTGGTCCAACAGAAGAAAATTCTCATGTGGTATTAAACAATATTTTTTTAATATTAAATACTACTTCGGTATACACATTAAATGATTAAAAATGTCATGTTGATCCTCAAAATAATATATTTTATTAATTATAGTCGTGATTAATTTTCATGTTTATTAAGGTATTTTTGCAAGTACTAATAGTTGGTTGGCATAATTAATTAGAATAAAGTTATAATTATTATTTGTTTTCATTAATTTTTTACAGAGTTAAAAAGTATTGATACACCTAACCTCTCAATTAGTCCACTTTGTTCCTTTGTAACAAACATCCAAGACACTTCAACCTCCTTTTCAACTGCTCACAACTATGCGCTTCCACAGAGTTATAAAAAAGTTATTCACTATCAACGATTTTTTCTAATGATTAATTTTTCTGTAGAGATAACATTGCTTTCCCAGCCATTGTCGATCAAAACAGTACGAAACTTTTGAATTACCGCTCTTTCAACATGGTGGCTGCGCTTGCGCTCATCACATGATGAAAAGGTCTATTCTGTAGAACCAATATAAAAAATGGAGGTGTACTAATTATGTATAAATCCAGTTTGTCCACGACTGTTCTATAAAACATTCATTATACTTGTACTTCCTTAAGAATAATAATAATACCTATTATTCACTAGTGAATAATGATCCATTAGTCACGGTAAGACGTCACGACAGCACGTATGTCTAAACTGATATGAAAATATTCTTTATAGGTAATCGAAAAATCGAAAAAAATCGAAAAAAAATCGAAAAAAATCGAAAAAATCGAAAAAAAAATCGAAAAATCGAAAAAAAATCGAAAAATCGAAAAAAATCGAAAAAAATTGAAAAAAAATCGAAAAAAATCGAAAAATCGAAAATCGATAAAAACGAAAAATCGAAAAGTCGAATAAAAACTTTCCATTCTACACTTAACTTTTATTTAATAAAGAAACCATAATGGTCGTGGACAAAGTATAGTATTAGACTCGGATGACTTGCGCCCCTCGCTTACGGCTCGGGACGCAAACGTCACCCTGCGTGAATAATGGCTACCATAAATTGCTCGTTTAATAATATACTATTAAGGAGGTCCTTTCGCCACCAATGTTAAATAAAAAATAATAGATTATGACTAAAATTAATTTTTTTCTAATAGTAGAAGTCCTTATTTATCTAATAGTGAACTTTTAACTATACCTTACCGTGCAAATTTTTGAGAAAATTTTTTCTTAAAAATGTGTGTGTTTGTACAGTGTTTAGGAAAATGGTGTACTTCGCTGTAAAATATAATGTATTTCATGATAGTCCGTATGGGTTCAGGGAAGGTCGATCTACTCAAACTGCCGTTATCAGCTTCCTTAATTACCTTTATGATAATTTAAATAAAAACAAAAGAAGTGTAGGTATTTTTTATGGACTTAAGCAAAGCCTTTGATCTAGTAGATCATGCTATACTTAATGTTAAACTTGGTAAGTATGGTTTTAGAGGAAGAGTTGGAGAGTGGTTAAGTTCCAATTTATCTGAGAAAAATCAGCTAACAGTTGTTAACTCTCGTCTATCAGAAACACGTTTAATTAAATTTGGAGTTCCTCAGGGCTCTGTCCTTGGGCCACTTTAATTTTTACTTTTTATTAACGACTTATGATTGTCGGTTAATGATGGTAATATTGTATTATTTGCAGATGATACTTGCTATCTATATTGCAATAATGATATATTGCAATTAGCTGTTGAATTTCAATTTAGAATAGACAAGTTGGTACGATGGTCGAGGAAAATAAACTCATTATAAATAAAGAAAAAACCGTGTTTATTTATTTTACTCAGTCTACAAAATTATTAGGCGTTCACATTAACAATTCATTAAGTTGGGAAATTCATATTCATATACTGTGTAAAAAACTTTTGTCTGCATGTTTTGCACTTTTTAGACTTAGAAATATTACTAATAAATCTGTTTTGTTAGCATATTATTACGCACATTGTTATTCACTTATCAGATTTGGTTTAATTTTTTGGGAATCATCTACTCATGTACTGAGGGTTTTTAGACTTCAAAAAAAAGCTGTAAGAAATGTAGCATCGTTAAGGTATAGATACCCATATAGAGAAAAATTTAAGGAATTCCGAATTTTGCCACTTACTTGTATTTATATTTTAGAACTTTTAATGTACGTCAAATCAAACCTAGAACATTTTCGAACTAATAACTTTTATCATAATTATTTGACATAAAAATGCTTCTTCTGCCCTTTTTGGACACGAATTTTTCGAAAACAGTTCTAGTTTCAGTTATGATCTAAATTATTACAAATATATGTTTTTTATTACACTGAGAAAAATGCTAATTCCGAGAGAACTTAAACTAAATAAATCTCCGATTTCAATAACATTTTTATAATTGAACAACCCTTAACCTAAGAAATATTATTATGTGAAACAGTGAATTAAAGAATAATAATGATATTCTTACTGTCTATTATTTAACCAATTGTATTCATCCAGTATGTAATAAACAATCAATAATATCAATTTCCATATGCCGGTACCGATACAACAAAAGGAATGACATTACCTTCAAACAAACTGATTAAAGTCTGCATCTATTACGAACTCCCCGCTGCTTATGAATCAGTTCCACCATTAGAAAAGATTAATGGACGCACACCTAGCCGCACTTTGTGCAGTTTATGACGTATTCCATTCGCTGTCACCAGCGCATTTGTCTCTAAACTTGTCTACACGTTAGCGCACCAACAAATTCATTAAATTTAAATCGGTTGCTGCTGCTGTTCTAGATAAACAGTTTAGTCCGAACTACATAAAAAAAAATGATTGATTACGAGTGGACCCTGGATGGATATCAGTCGTATTATCATTGCTTGAAGGTAAGTCAGTAGGTGTAGCAATGGTATAGAATTTACAGAGTGTGCTCTCAAATAAATCAATAAAAATATCGTAATAGTATGAGAGGAGAGTAATTCCGGAAATGTATATTTTTAAGGTATTTAACGAAGGTGTATTATTTTTTCTCACAAATATGGGATAGAGATAGGAAAAGGCTATTTTTCCCGGTGTTTCAAAATAAGCATACCATCTAGGTCGCTATGTTTGCATTTTAAGAGAATCGTGCACATGCGCAGTTGCTGTAGTGTTTCGAAAAAGTGTCATTTAGTTTGCTTATCTAAAAAAACGGGGGTTTATCACACAGAAAAAAATGATCATCTACATTCAAGAAAAGTTTTACACTTGGAAGATTGCATTTGTTTGAAATAAAGCAGAGTTTGCTTCAAATAATAAACTCCTGTTCAAAATTAACGCATCACTTACAATTTCCGATTAATTTTGATTATTTATGACAATATTGACGTTTATTGTAAAATATCATAGGTGGCTCATGTCAAATAGGTATTCTTGTCAGTTTTGAATTGTTCCTACTATACTGCATTAATTTGTCAAATAGAAAAACAATTACTTTGCTTAATTCATTCCAATTTTGTGCGTGTAATGTTTAAACTTACTGTTTAAATGATTTTCTTAATTTTTATCAAAAAGTTTAGTTTGTAAGATCAATATTTTACCTATTTGCTAAAAAAACATGAATCGAGCACTCCATTTAAGCAATGATGAATGTGTAAGAGCTGCAACTTTGCTAGAAGTGGGAAAAAGTATTCGTTATGTGGACAATTTGTTAGGTGTTCATCATTCAACAGTTAGTCGAATGGTTAGAAGATTTAGGGAAACTGGATCTCACGATAGAAAACGTGGCCAGGGCTGAAAGAATGACACAATGTCAAATTGATGAGCGCTTTCTCCGATAATAGGTCTGAAGAAAACAAAAATGTACAAGAAAAGAGCTAAGTAATCAACTCGTAAATGTTAGACATGTCAGAAATTCTGTTTTAACCGTCAGAAGAAGACTAAAAGAAGCCGGATTAGCTA